AAGTCAGAGCGCATCTTCCTGTGAAGCCAGAAAAAAAGCTCGTCACACAAGTAAGCCGGATTTCTGAAACGGATGTGCACACAAAACTCAAGTTAGAGAACAGGACCAAAGTCCAGAAGTGGACGAACAGCCGAAAGTTTGGATAGAGATTACAGCCGGTGAATGCTTAAAAAAACCTGCTTATAATGGCTGTATTTACAGGCGGGATGTGGGGGAGGGGAGAGGGGATCTTTGAGTCTCAGGATTTAGGGCCGTATGGCTAGTGCTGTCGCCATAGACTGTGCAGGCTAGGGTTTTAATATTTCCCCTGATAGCAAAAAACAACAACACAAAACCTAGGACCTTAAACTCTTTACTGTATTGTCAATTTGTCCTCATTTGACGCATACCTGAGTAAAGATGAGACACGGGTGAGTAAAGACGACATATCTGTGGGGTATGTTGCTACGCTATTCGGACAAGAGTACATATGTTTAAATATAGGGCAAAGGTTTTGATCAATGGGGTATACTGCAACGTTTGATAGATTTGTTGTTTCACTGGATGAATAAGAACCTACGGTAAAGATATCATGTCATCACTGGTTCACACAACGCATCATTATGTAAAAGTGTCACATACTTTTGTACATTTGAGGTACACATGGGTACAGTAAATGATTATATATACAGATGGGTCTATAGTGAGAGGTAAGAAGACCGGGTAGGGTATTGTGACAAAGGTGAAAAGACATTACTTGAAAGAGAGAATCCTACACAAGGCCAGCACACCCACTAAGAGAATGGAGGTGGAGGCCGTAATAACGGTAGCTTTCCAATGGCGTAAGAGCAGCAGAGCCCGATATTATGTAATTGTAGCAGTCTTGCTATAGAAAGATTCTCAGAATATCTTGGACAAAGAAGATGAGAAATCTTGACATCTTAAAAGATTTGAACATCAAGAAAGATTGACTAAAAACAGCATCCTTTCTCGAAAACTGAAATATTTTGGTCATATCAAGCGCCACGACGGATTGGAAAAAAATATAGCAGAAGGCATGGTACCAGGAAGGAGGGGCAGGAGCCGACCGACACGAAGATGGGTACAGGATATAAGTGACTCCTTGAGTGTGAAAGTGCATGAGGCGGGAGAACTGGCGAGAGACCGAGTTTCTTTCAGGCAGACTGATGAGAGCGACGTTCTGCAAAGGACCTGCTACATGATGATGATGAGCAGTCTTACAGAGTATAGTTTGCGAAACTGACACTGGCGTCCTGCGCGTAGAGTGGCGCGCATCACTTGATAAGTCTCAGATTATTAGCATACCGTAAATTTTCTGTCCATAACCTGCAGTCTGATGGATTTGCTGCTATGCTCCTCGTTAAGGCGTTAAGGAAATATTTGCTTCAGTAAAGAAGAATATCATGTTTTCTCCCCCTTCATTACGATATGTATTTTTATCATGAAACCGTCTTGGTAGACGTTTGAAAGGTTTACTTTCATTAGTTTCAGGAAGTAATGCACAATATGACTGGTTTAACAGGGGTTCAGAGGAAACCTGCGCAAGTTCATTATTTTCTTGTACAAAGTAGCACTCTTAGGGACCTCGCGCCGAAATAAGACGTCGGTTAAGGTTGTTTAGTTAAAGGCGTATCAACAAATTAGTGTTGAGTTATTGTGTCATGTAGCTAGCTTTTAAAAAAGCTGACATAGACATCAACTTCAAAATAATTTTGAGATGCAAATTTATAACTATGCAGAAGGTTACAGTTTTACTGTACCAGCACTTCCTCAGGAAATCTAAGATCGGTCATTTACATTTTGTGATATTCATGACCCAAAGAGACTGGCTGGCTCTTGGTGGAATACTGATACATGATAAGGTAGACGTGGTTAGAGCCTTGTGGGTGAGCGTGTACAGTTCCGAGGAGCAGATGGATCACCACAGTCTGGTGAGATTAATGCAGGGGGAGTGACGAGAGGTTCTGGCAGATGCCTGAGGCTCAGAGGAAAGGCAAGACGGACGTTTAATCAGAATGCTACTGGCACCATGAGTATCGGAACTCTTCGCTGGCTACTGAAGATGGGGACGGAGCGCTTATGGAAATGCCATGAGTGCTGTGATGTCGGTTCTTGAATCAAATCAAATCAAATCAAGAACAGTTCACGATTAGTGCTTGATCTGTATAGAGCATCATTTAGCAGTTGAATTAAACAGATGCAGAGCTCATTCATGTCAAACAAGACTGATTCAGCGGGAAAAAGCATTTTCTGGACAGGTTTTAGTGCGATGAGAAAAGACATACTGACCTTTAATCAGGCGGCAACAACACTATATTACAGTGTATTACAACAGTCTTCTCAATGCTCAGTCCACGAAGGCTCAGCTGGCTGGATCACGCCTGGAGAATGGAGGATGGCAGAGTCCCTAAGGACAGCCTCTTTGGTGAATCAGAGATAGGTACAAATGTCGAGGCTAGGTAAACACGGAAGACATAAAATACAAAACACTGAGCAATGAAACAGCAACACAATTTGTTGCCATAATTATAATCGAAGTTGACCTAGACGAGACTAACTCTCTGGTCAGAGGTTGAAAGCGGCTAATTTAAATATAACGAACGAATGAGGCCAATCTCTACTACGATATAAATATGTGTGTGAGCGGGACATGAATGATACAAGAACTGAGGTGGATTCATGGGGACAAAACGCTAAGTACCGTTTTGTATGGAGGAGAGCAATCATGAAAGTAGTAAGAATGAAGGAAGAAAGAATGAAATCTGAGCATCCAAAAAAGAAGTGCAATAAACTCACGTGATAGTAACAACAGTCCTAAAATCCCATGCTCAAATTGTGAAAGACTTTTCTTAACACGGGCGGGTCTTGCTAGTCACACTCGCCATCGCCATGGGCTGTGAGTCCCATGCCTCCTCATAACACAGTCTAACAATATCGTCTAGAAAGGTGGAAAGGGGCCAATTAATCAATCGATCAACCAATGATTCAAATAATCAATCAATCAATCAATCAATCAATCAATCAATCAATCAATCAATCAATCAATCAATCAATCAAACTATAAGTTTGAGAACTTTTCGCTGGCTATTAATTACGAAGTCAGAATCTGTGTGAGAATGCCCTTATAGCAGTAATGTCAGTTCTTGATTCATTTAATCATGAGCAGTAATGTCAGTTCTTGATTCATTCAATCATGAGCAGTAATGTCAGTTCTTGATTAATTCAGTCATGAGCAGTAATGTCAGTTCTTGGACCATTCAATCATCAATCTAACAGAACTTTGCCAGGGCCTCTGACAATCTTCTCGATGGGTCCGAGTACATGTGGACCCAGGCTCTGGACGAACACGATGAGGAAGGGGCCTTGTTGGTGGAGGCTATGGACAACCTCGTCAAAGCCAGTCTGCGACTCCGGACCCTTATCGATAACAATCCCATAGTCATGGACTATATTGGTAACTCTGTTTATTCTAGAACTAATATCACTTCAGTTTGTGTTTGTATAATATTATTAAGGGAGTCGAAGTGGCGTTGGCAGACGCCCGCCTACGGATTGAAAGGTCGTGGGTTCGCGTCATGACGAAGCTGGACTTTCTCTCTCTCAAAAAATGACCTTGACCCCCAAGTCGACCCAGCCTTGAGTGGGTAACAGATGCAGTCCTGGGAAGTAAAGGCGGCCGGCGTTATGTTGACCACATTCCCCACCAAGTGCCGTTTGGGCTATACAATTATAGGTCTAGCCCTATATACCCAATACGCCTGAAGGCGTGGTAAAAGAATTTTGCCTTTACTTTAACATAATATTATTGAACTTGTATCCTGAAACACTATAAACATATTGACACCGAAAATATATAATGTAAATGCGTATGTTAGAAAAACATTACTAAACATTCAGGTTGAAAACTTCCTTTCCCCCGTGATGGTTCCGGCGTCCCGGGGGGGGGGGGAAGGGGGGTGGGGGGGGACAAACAAACACACTGCCTCTCTAACAAACATGTCGTAAGAGTCGACTGACTAGGGATGTTTCCTCTTAGGTCGGCGCCCATCTGCCTGAAAAGGCAATGAAACAAGTCTACACACAAATAATCCAGATCTGTAAAACCGATGTGCAGGCAAAATTCACGTTATGGAACAAGACTAAAGTACAGAAGTGGACGAACAACTAAAATTTCCCCCCGGAAGTTTACGGTCTGTCAACGCAAAGAAGAACAGATCAAACTAGTATTTTAAATCATCGTTAAAATATTAGCTTCAAAATATTATTTAAGTGCGTAAGTTTAAAACAATATTAAAAAATATCCTTTAAAACTTCATTTGAATCATTATACTGAAAACATCATTAATTTTTTTGGAAATGAAAATGTCGTCTAAATGTGCACATTGAAAACATCATTTCAACATGCAGTTTGCATATTTTTTATGTGCACTGTGCAGAGCTATTCGAACTTAGACTTATATTAGAAAATGAACGGACCACTTTTGGGTTACTACCCGTGTGCCATGATGTTGATCCGTTGTTCAAAACCTCAAACTTCAAACATGCAGTTTGGAAAGATTTTTTAAGTGCTTATTAGGAGGGAAAATAATACTTTCAGTGCGTATGATGGAAACATCATTTAAGCATGTTTAGACATAACATGTGTAAGGTATCGTAAGACTGGAATCAGGCGTGATTCTGACAAGAAAGGACGTGGGCGAGAAAGAGAACGACCTGTGTACAACCAGTGTGCTACTGGAGCAGGCAACATCTACACTCTCAGACAGTTGCTCCTCGACTCCGAGCATCCGTGGGTGTGCATGGTATGACGTGATGTTGATTTTTAAACAGATCAGTCATCAGTAATCATTGTGCACGAGCGCTTGTGTGTAGGTGTGTACGTGATTTACATGTCTGATGATTATGTCAACAAAAGGTTTAAGTATTTATGTACACGTTTCATCTGTTTACAACCGAGAAGTCAGTTTTGCTTGATTTTGTTGTTGTTAATATTTGAACAGTAATCAAACGAGACAGCACTTCCGGAGACATTTATTTCCCGAAACAAGAGGATGAAATGCTGCAAGATTTCGATGATAACTCCATGTTCCTAAGTAGAGAGGCTTTCATTAAGACTCAAGGTAATCCTGTCTCCTCTCTCTCTCTCTCTCTCTCTCTCTCTCTCTCTCTGAGTGCTACTTGTTATCCGTACCAACATTCCAGCACATCGGTCCAACCCTTCTTGCTCAGTCCTCCAATGCAGCAGCCATCTCTGTGTCTCCATGTTAAGTGTACCAATAGAAGTTAACTGGCATTTCTTCCTTCTTTATCACGCCACCGCTTTCTGCCTGCGAGTCCTTGTTTAATACCAATTTTCACAGATGTTTTATTGTCGCTGACTCCTTTGTCTTAACGTCTTTGGAACGCTTCGCATTTAGTTCAAGGCATGGTGTCTGCCTCGAGTGCTAGAGGTTCCGGGTTTAATCCCCGGTAAGGGCTGGGATTTTTTTCACATGGACTTCTAGTAATTCTCCCTGGTCTCTGGGTAGTGAGATCGGACGCCCGTGTGCATTGTTGCGCACGTAAAACATCCCTTGGGAATTGGAAATCGAAAAGAGTAGCCTAACGGCGCTGCCCGGGCAAAATTTCGAGTTAAAAATCTACCAAAAGTATTTCAGAATCCTCGCCGGTGCTACAGAGCCAGTGCTAAGCTTCTTCGGACTCAGACCTGAGTTAGAAGAACTGGGCACACATGGGTTACCACCCGTGTTCTTTGATGTTGATCCGTTGTTCAAACCTCAAACCTCAAAGCTCAAAGCCCATACATATCCCCCATCAACCACTCCAGATACAGCCACTCTGTCAGCACTTTAATTTCATTACAGCAAGGCTTGTTCTGGTGTATTTATCCGAAATAGTTTCTTCATGACGGATTTCTTGATGGCAACCTATTCTAGCTGGACTTTGCCAGTGTAAAGTAAGTATGCTCATTGAGTCTGTCGCTATCAATGCGCGTGTTGCACTTCGGTTATTAAAGCTTTTGTTAGCTGCACGCAGTGGGGTAGACAATGGATTAATCCTTGTTTGAGTGAGCAATTATTATTATTTATATTAAGCGCTGTGTGGTAAATAAGTAGAAATAGTATCAAATATATCAACAAAAAATTAAGAAGAGAACGTCGAGGTGGTCGGGGAAGGGGGGGGGGGGGAGGACTTTAAGCCACCATGTAAATTTTATTTTATGGGGTACACACATGCTCACGAGTGCACGAAGGCATTTACAGTGATATGCTATATATGCCCCAGATCAAAGTAAAAAAAAATATCACGGGTGTTATGTCCAAGCTATTCGGGTGTGCAGGGTAATGACCCAGCTGATAGGCTGGCTGCTACCATTCCTCTATGCAGTGAGCTATTTCTGACAAAGCGAGTGTGGTGAAGGCTCTCTGGAACAAATGGACAGCGCAACAGGACAGAATGACAGTTTCTCTGTTTTGAAATACGGTAACTGGGGTTGTAGTTAACTGGTTGCTCTTTGAAAAAATGCTAAGACACGGAATTTATAGAAGAAAAAAAAAAAAAAACACAAGAAAAAAGTCCTTCATCGCGTAAGCACAAAAAAAGAAAGTACTGCGATTCTAGAGAATCTAGATTCTTTCTACTTCTTTCTATGAGTGCCGATCACAATACTTTCTGTTACTTGATTAATTCATGGGATTCTAGAGGAGCTAACAGGGAGACTACAATTATTGACAACAATTTGTCATGTTAAATTTTACTGCAACCTCAAAAGACACAGTACTCACCAGAAAAAAAAAAAAAAAACTTAATAAACTCACACACAGCACCACCGTCTTAAAAGCCCAAGGCACGCTAGATGTAGGTTAATATTTCTACAAGTGGATGGTTTAAGGTTTGAGCCCGTAACATCTAGCGGACACCATGCCCCGAGACCACCCAGCAACTCGCCTACAAGTCGATGATTTGAGGTTTAAACAACGGAACAACATCATAGCACACGGGTCGTAATCCATAAGCGCTCTGTTCTTCTTTCTTACACAAGTCTGAGTCCGAAGAAGTTCAGCACAGTGTACAGCCGCTGTAGCGAGGATGAAATACTTTGGGTAGATTTTAAACTCCAAATTTTGCCCGGGCAGTGCCGTTTGGCTACTCTTTTCGATTTCCAACTGCTTATGGATTTTTACGTGCGCAACTATGCACACGGGCGTCCGATCTTCCTACCCAGACACCATGAGAGATTACTAGAAGCCCAAGTCCACGTGAAAAAAATCCCAGCCCTTACCGGGGATTGAACCCGGAACCTTTAGCACTCGAGGCGGACGTCATGCCTCGAGACCACGCAGCCCTTCTATGCAAGTGAAAGGAAGGTGTAGGGATAGTCCAATAGCAGTCTTTGTCTTAGTCAGGGTTTGAACTTTACTGCAGTTGGGTCACCTCATACTTGCCTTGTTCCTGTGCCAGTGAAAATTAAATGAAATATACTTTGATGTCCAATTTGAAAAACTACTGAACAAACAGCAAGTCCCGGAACAATCCAGAAATATGGGCAGTAAATACATATGACAGTTGCAAGAGGCGCCAACGCCAACAGTCGCCACCAGAAGTGCAGTACGCTTTGATTGAAGTAGTCGGGGACGATGTTGGCTATACACAGGTAGACTTATTACATCAGATATTTCACCAGCCTATACGTAAACCGGCTACCGGGAACATTGAATACCACCACTCAACCGCTGCACGAATGAAAGACAGTTCACAAGAAAAACATAGTTCACAGTGCTGCAACAAGCACTAAACTCATCAACTCAGACATATAGTAGTCTGAGAGAGTGTACTACAAGGGCAAAATACAGTGCTACATAATATTCATTGCAATGAATCTTCATTATGAAGACTGCACCTAATTGGCTGTTTGTTGTTCTGCCTTTTCTAGACACAGTTAGTTATGGTGTTGTCCTGTACAAGAATGCCACGAACAAACTGAGGATAAACACGCAGCTTCAAAATGACGTGTAAGTCAACACTGGAGGTTTATCTATATGTAATGGTGCATATGTCGCATGCACGAAGGTTTGTGAGTTAGTGTGGCTCTACGTATATATATATACAGAATGAGCGAACCAACGAACGAACATATTTTTTTTAAAGGGTGAAGAACTGGGCACGCAGGCCCGTCAAACATTCTGCCTTTTCGAGGTCTCTCTCGGTTCTTACATGATTTCATTTATAGATCACGTAATCGTAAACCTGTCGGCTCTGTGGCTAAGTCGATGCGAACGCTTTGTAATGCCGGGATGCCGGGTTCGATCCCAGCTGCGGGCCATGCGCCTTGCGTTGGTTTCGACAGTGGTATCAAGAAAGCCGATCGTCCAGAAAGCAATGGCAAACTACTGGATGTAAATTTGCCTAGAAAAACCACACAACAGCCAGGGGCTGTTGGGGTTGGTTCTGCAACGTCATGTAAAGGATTCGCAACTAACCAAATAGTAAACATTATTAATAGCATCAAGAATATTCAATACAAACACTGGAAGCTGCTCATTTCCAGCTACCGTAAACCATAGTAGTTTCAATAGATTTAGAAAAAATTGGTGCCATTTCTAAAATATTTTTTATCTTCTATGGGGGTATGTAATCTGTGGCCATAAAATATTCGAACAGTTTTAGATGGAAAACTAGGTCAAACTGTCATATTTGTCGTTTAATAAACATTGCTTTCTTGGCTCATACTGTCCCATAAGGTGTTAGTCTTTTCTTTCCAGTTTTTTTTTCCATGGCTCCATTTTAGGAGAAGAAGAACAGACCTACTGCCCCCTAACAAGTATGTCGTAAAGGCTACTAATTAGGAGTGTTTTCTTCAAAGTCGAAGTATATCTGCCTGAGCGGTTGGGAACGAACCGTCACATACAAACAAGCCAAATCTGTTACACGGATGTGCACACAAAATGCTAAGAGAAAAGTCCAGAAGTAGACGAACAGCTAAAATATTCTTCCAGACCTCACAAAAGGTAGACGACAAGACGAAGATGAGGAATAAATGAATGAAAGTCAACCCTACCAGAACCACACAACGAGCAATAAGCACCCGCTGACACAAAATGCCACCATTTGAATGAGAAACACCCTGGGAAAAGTCCAAGAAGCTCCCGTTCAACTGTGTCAGAAGGTCCCCCAGAAGAAGAGGAGGAGGAGGAGGAGGAGGAGAAGAAAAAGAAGAAGGAGAAGAAGAAGAAGAAGAAGAAGAAGAAGAAGAAGAAGAAGAAGAAGAAGAAGAAGAAGAAGAAGAAGAAAAAGAAGAAGAAGAAGAAGAGGAAGAAGAAGAAGAAGAAGAAGAAGAAGAAGAAAAATATTAATATTTATAATAGTAAATAAAAATTAGAAAAAGAAAAGATGAAGATGAAGAGGCTAAAGAAGAAGAGGAAGAAGAAGAAGAAGAAGAAGAAGAAGAAGAAGAAGAAGAAGAAGAAGAAGAAGAAGAAGAAGAAGAAGAAGAAGAAGAAGAAGAAGAAGAAGAAGAAGAAGAAGTAGAAGAAAAAGAAGAAGAAGAAGAAAAGGAAGCAAAAGAAGAAGAAGAAGAAGAAAAAGGTGAAGAAGAAGAAGGTGAAGAAGAAGAAGAAGAAAAAGAAGAAGAAGAAGAAGAAGAAGAAGAAGAAGAAGAAGAAGAAGAAGAAGAAGAAGAAGAAGAAGAAGAAAAAGAAGAGGACGAAGAAGACGAAGAAGGAGGAGAAGGAGAAGAAAAAGTAGAATAGACATCACAGCACTGGGAACATTGTCATATTACATGTTGTTATATCACATTTATCATATCACCTGTTGTCATATCACATGCTATCATATCAAATGTTGCCATACCACATGTTGTCATACCACATGTTGCCATATCACATGTTGTCATATCACATGTTATCATATCACATATTGTACATACAACTCTGATCTTGTCTACTGGCCAGCTCTCTGCAGAACAAGGTTTTGAACTCACACATCATCTCCTTTACACTGGACGTAAACATCCCCTTGTTGACACCACCTCTTGAACTGTCGTTTTCTGTGCTGGAGGTGAGTTATCTGTTGCCAGTCCTCTATTGTTAACGACTTTGGCATTGTGGTAATGTTTCATCCGTAGGTTTTCTAATATGCCAAGCGATAAGCTGGTTGTATTACATGTCAGTCGAATAATTGGTAGTTATGTGTGTCAACCCATCCAATTTTTTGCTAAGCTAATATTGAAACATAGTATAAATAAGCGTAGCATGATATTTTTGTGTAGTATGTTTTGTGTAGTCTGTGTGAAATATGTTTTGTTTTGTGATGTATTTTTGTACAGTATGTATTAACTATTTTTGTGTAGTATGTTTTGTGTAGTATGTTTTGTGAAGTATATTTTGTGAAGTATTTTTTGTGTAGTATGTTTTGTGTTTTGTTATGCATGTCACAGGCTAAGTTCAACATGCAAAAGATGTAACATGAAAATAAATACTTCTGAAAGTAATGAGGTAATGCAAGTCAGTATAATTGCTAGTCGGCTACATGTCAGGCTGAATGGTTCTTGTCTGAAGCAAGGTAAGGAAGTTAAATATCTAAGAAGTATATTCTCGGGGGACGGAAGAATAGATTGGGAAACGGAAGCAAGATGCTAACGAGCCAATGCAATTATATACCAACTGACAGAGTTATTAAGACACCCATCCAAGAAACAGGTAATGTTCATACCAACACTGTGCTACCAGTGCCGGACTTAGACATTATCAAAGATTATCCTCCTTAAAACTACCACCTGTGAAATGAGATGCCTGAGAAATGCCGCCAGCTCAACTATTCGAGACAAAGTTAGAAATGATATTATCAGACAGACTGTAGGAGCAACACCATGCAGCAAATTCACTGAGCAACAGGAGATCAAATGGTTTGATCACTTAGTAAGAATACAGCCAGAACAGCTACCATTTCAGGCGCTACACATGACAAGATCTGAAGCGAAATCAAGAGGCCGCTCTAAGTGGATATGGACTGATGACTTTAAAGAGCTTCTACATCGACAAGGAATGACCAAAGCCATTGCTGCCCATCATGCAATGGATCGCAAACTGTTCCTCCCCACAACCCTTAACGGTAGAAGTGGAAATTGATAATGATAATGGTGTTTTGTGTAGTATGGTTTGTAAAGTATGTTTTGTGAAGTATGTTTTGTGTAGTATTTGGCTTAGGCATTGCGAATGCGCTTCGTATTTTAATAGCGTCCTGTTCGAACTCAGCTGCTGGCGATTTGAAAGCAAACCGACTTCGAATGGCAAACTACTGAACATAAAAGTGTTTAGTGAAATCACAAACAGAAACAAAAATGAAAAACAAAAAATGCTGGTGTTTGGTGTCCAACCTCAGGTAAAGGATAGAGAACTAACATTTTGTTTATATGACAATTGATTGGTAGTTGTACAAGTGATTTATAGTGTGACTTGTGGTACAAATATCTCTTGTGCGACAAATATCTCTTGTGTGACAAATATCTCTCGTGTGGCGGTTGTCAATTGCTAAGGGGAAAGAGCCCGAAGTTGCTCTATATAGAGCTTCTTTAATACGAAGGCCAAGGTTAATGACAGTGACTCTTCACTGTACATAATGACCGATTATTGCAACCACTTTTTGTATTGGCGGATTGTTCTGACTGTTGCAGTCACTATATATACAGCCTGATTGCTCTGACTGTTGCAGTCACTATATATACAGCCTGATTGCTCTGACTGTTGCAGTCACTATATATACAGCCTGATTGCTCTGACTGTTGCAGTCACTATATATACAGCCTGATTGCTCTGACTGTTGCAGTCACTATATATACAGCCTGATTGCTCTGACTGTTGCAGTCACTATATATACAGCCTGATTGCTCTGACTGTTGCAGTCACTATATATACAGCCTGATTGCTCTTGCTGTTGCAGTCACTATATATACAGCCTGATTGCTCTGGCTGTTGCAGTCACTATATATACAGCCTGATTGCTCTGATTGTTGCAGTCACTATATATACAGCCTGATTGCTCTGACTGTTGCAGTCACTATATATACAGCCTGATTGCTCTGAAAAACTGGTAACTGGTGTGGGTAAAAAAAACGAAAAACTTCTTGCCTCTTTCAACCGGCTCCTATACTGAGCGTTGGTTATATCGAAGCGGCGTTTTGTTGTCTGGAGTTTTGTTCTCCAGTTATTTACGTTTCTGTTGTGGCGATTTACATTTCTGCCTGGGGTTTGTTGCTTCTTGTCAGAGTGAGGTAGGTGGGCGTGGCTTTGGGCGTCGGACATTGTCATCTGGTTGTGGGCTGTGAGGTTTCTCCGGGCTTGTGGGCGTGGTTGTTCAGCTGTCATGGCGGCTTTTGCGGCTTTCATTGGTTGCTGGATGTTGGCTTTCAATTTGCTACTTCACGTGGGCGTCGTTTCCGTTTGAGTGGGCTGCTATCTTCGTTTTGTTGTTTCTTATGCTTTCGAGTTGAAGATGCCGGGTGGCCTCTTTGAGTTGCTTCATCTCCTTGTTTATTGCTGCGAAATCGCCTTTCAGGCATTCCTTGAGGATGTACAGGTCTTGTGTGCACTTCTTCTCTAGATCTCCGGGTTTCACGTGAGCGTCGTGGATCTGCCTTTTTCTGTCTTTTTCTTTCTTCGCGTTTTCTCTGGCTTCTATTACTCTGTGCGTGGCTTCGATTACACAGCTGAGTTTGTCGCATTCTTTGTTTGCCTCGGCTGCCTCTGCTTTTGTTTTCGCCAGGTCTTTCTTGATGGTGGCTATCTCGGAAAGTATACTTTTCTGGTTGTCTTTCAGTTCTTTGGCGGCTACTGCGTCTGCTTCCTTTAACTTCTTGAGGTCGGTTAGATTTGCCATCAATTCTGTTTTGAACTTCGCCATTTCTGTGTTTTCCTCCTCGAGTCTCCTTTGGGTCTCGAGAGACGCCTGCAGGATGCTTCGCAGGTCTATCATCTCGTCCCTGTCTTGAGTCCTGAGTGCCATGATTCGTGCGTTTTCTTCTCGCAGGGATTTGATTTCGTCTCTCAGTTGAGTAATGACGTTGTTGTTCGCAGCTGTCGGACTGGGCGCCTGATATCTTTGTTTCGGCTCTGGATTGTGTGTGGTCCTGGTGGTGGTATTTGCCATCGCTCTCTTGACTTCTTTCAGGTACGGGCAACCCATGTACCTGGCGCTGTGTGCACCGGAGCAGTTGGAACATCTTCTGCTTGCGTTCGGCTTTTTGAAATCAGGGTCCACTTTTGCCAGAGGGCATTCCCTGAATAGGTGAGGGCCGGAACAGTAACGGCACGAAGGGCTGCTGCGGCATGACGAGGCAGAGTGCCACGCCTTGTTGCAGCGAGAGCACTGCAAAACTTCTGTGATGTAGGCTCCCGGTCGTTGCTGCTGCTGCCTGAGTGGGCGGGTGTTGCTCGGTTCCTGCGCCACGACTGGGGCGGCTTCTAGGTAGACGGGTGCCTCGATAGGGCCCACATCCAGGGCTGGAGGCGTCTGGGTGTGTGAGGCTGGTGTCTCCTCCGGGTCGTCCGTCGGTACTGGCCCTGTCGGCACCGTAGGGGCTGGTGCAGCGACAGGCTCATCTTCCTTCTTGGCAGAGGTCGACCTGGTTTCCCGGCGCTGTGTCGGGATCTTCTTGCCACGGGCCATGGTTTCGTGTGGCTGTGGCTATGGCTGGCTGGCAGAGGCGGTACTTCAAAGGCTGCTGTCGAAAGCTAGGTCCCTTCGGGGTAGGCAAGGCTTGTTAGAGTATTCTGAAAAGAACACCCAAGCGTGCTTCCCCCTCAGTTCACTAGACAAACGAGTAACAATTGGCTGGTACGTCTGCGTTATCGGGCGGTAGAGCGAGCGAGAGCTGTTTGCGGCTTGGCTGTCAGGCTGCGAATGCGCTTCGACGACTGACTGGACTCGATTGCTCTGACTGTTGCAGTCACTATATATACAGCCTGATTGCTCTGGCTGTTAATTCTCAACTCCTTACGTCCTTTTTAGGACGTAATTTTTTGTTATTTGAAGCCCCACTCTGGCTTTTGCCAGGGGCCGCAATATAGGCAGGCCATAAAAATGGCCAAATGTCTGAACGCGGTTTCTGGGACCTCTCCACGGTGATCCTCATCCACATGGTGGCACTTTGTGTCATCGGGTGTTTATCGCTTGTGTGATGTCCTAGTGGGGTAGAAAGTCACTCACTCACTCTGGCTGTTAAGGTCACATTGTATATTGACTGATTGTTCTAACTGTTGCAGTCACCTTGCATATTGGTTGATTGTTCCGATATTTGAAATCAACATGTGTATTTGCTGGTTGTTCTCTTCAGTAGATGTATTGATACTGTAAGGTTTTATTTGTTTTATCATGTCACACAATTGTATGTCTCTCTCCAGGGCAACTATTCAAATCCTTCGTGCGGTTATCTCAATACACAAGTCAAGTATGTATATTGTTGACTTGGTGTGCATATTGTTGACTTAGTGTGCGTATTGTTGTTTTGGTGTGTATATTGTTGACTTAGTGTGCGTATTGTTGTTTTGGTGTGTATATTGTTAAATGTCTCAAAACGCATAATAAATAGTTATGCGCTAGATGTGATTGATTGACTTACGATGACGACCTACAACTAAGCGCCTGAGAGGGTTGCTCACAACCTATTTAGATTATATTTGTGGTGACGTATCTAGTTGTCATTTCAATGTGTTTTGTTGTTGTTGTTTATCCATGTGCTGTTTGCCTGCCTGACTGGTCTTACGCATCTTCATTGCTCTCATTGATTTTCTCGGTAGGTAGATTTTACTAATGTTAGATATCTTGGCATGCACACCACGTTCGTGTATTCTTGCGCCGGATACTTTAACACACATCAGTTAACTTGTGTTTGTGTTTCAGAGGAATGGCCATGCTCCTTTAGTCCTGTACTAATCGTTGCTGCTTCTAAAAATTGTATGCCCAGGGACAGGTGTAGATATTTTTTTTTCACGGTACGTTTCATTTGGTTAGGTAGTGTTAGATTTGATTTCCAATGTGAATCCTCGCTGGGAGATAGTTTGATTGCAGGTCGCTATATGCGATTTACTGGTATGGTGGCATATTGAAGCTTAACGTACATGTTTAATATGTTTCGGTTTTTGCCATTGTTTTGCCATTGTTGAGGTAATTTTTCTGAATGTATGACATTTCCTTGTTAGCTGGAGATGGTTAGCACTTTCGTTTCGAGCACGTTGATTGTTGTTAATGTATTATTTGTGAAGTGTACGTTAATTTTGTGTTCAGTTCAGTAAATTAAACAGATGTCCCAATTGACGATAATAGTTCCAGTTGTTTTAATAAGAGTTAGGACTGGTATTTAATGGTGTCTACATTTACTGTTACTGTTATCTAGACTGTATACAAAAGATATCATGTCTGGGCTAGAACATTTATGGGTTTAGTCCCCACATAACAAATTCTGTTTTTTTTTCTTTCTCGGCACTTAGGCCTTTCGCTTCTAGTACATTAATTTAGGCTTCGTTTTTCCAACATATAAGATGTGGTCACTATCTACATCCCTCTATATACCCCAGGATGCTCTGACGTCCATTAAAAAGTATCTAAAAAATTATTTTTTTCAAATTGAGGTGATTGATATAGGTTTTAGTCACGCCATCTGCTGAATGCCAAGGTAATTTGTGAATTTCCAATTCTGAAAATTTAGTTTAGTGTTTAGATTTGACAGCATGCATAATTCCAGCAGCCGCTTTCCATTTTCATTTACGGTGTTACCCCTTCCTTTTCCATAGCTCACTTACTACCCACAATTTCACCACCGATTTTTGCATTAAAATATCTTATTACTGATTCTTATTAGTCCATGGCATGTAGCATTGGATGTCTTGTCTATCTGCAGTCTTCTGACTATTGTACTTTAAATCAGTTCTGACACAGCTGATCTTTATGCCATAATGTCAGACTGCCCAGCATCTTCTCTCTCGGTCTCCCTCTACCTAACTTTGCCTCAAACTTTCTCACTGCCACGATGTACTCCATTTTGTCGTCGCCATTTTTCTCTTTCTTATGACCAAAGAATGTAGAATGTATCATTCTGATGTAGGCAATCAGTTCTCTTTTTGAGTCAGTTTGTTTCAAGACATTTTCATTACTCTTTTTTATATATTCTGGATTTTCTCACCATTTGCCTATAAAACCACATCTCCGCAGCCTCTAAATAATTTTTCACAAATCTTCCAACTGTTCATGATTCACTTCCGCATATCATGACAACATTTATATATCTTTTACGAATTCTCTTTCTCGTCTCAATTGACAAAGACATATTTCATAGCACATTTTTCATTTTTAAAAATGCTGCCTTTGTTTGAGCTGTTCTTCATTGAACTTATTCACTTCATCTACATCGGATGTTATCAGGATACCCTAGTACTTAAACGTATCAACATGCCTCGGGCTTTTGCCATTTACTTTGATGTTACGTTTTGGTGGCTCCATTTTCTTTGTAATAACCACTCCTCTTGTTTTTCTACTGTTCAAAGACCCTAGTTTTGACTTTCTCTCACAATTATGTCCAATATTTATTGCAGTTGTGATCCATTTTCAGCGATCAACACTATATCGTCAGCATATCGCAGGTTGTTAACTATGTGCCCACCAACCGATACTCCTGGCATACCATGTATGGATCTAATTATTATTTCACAGTACACATTGAATAAATCGGATGATATCTCCCGGTCTAACGCCTTGTTTATTGCTTTGATAAATAGCAACTTGGTTATCAGTTCTCATGGCGGCTTTTTGTTGCCAGTATACATTTAGATCTTTGCCATGAATATGTAAGGTTTCTCATATTTTCTTCATGCTTCTCTTTACCGAATGAGTTAGTGTAATCAATAAGGCATTTGAGACGACGTTTTTTTTCTGAAAGAGCTCTTAAAATATATATGGCGTTGTTTGAGCCTTTATCTTCAACAAAACCATACTGCTTCTCCCCAGTTTCTACTACTGTCGGGTCACATTTATTTACTTTATTTACTTCATGCTGCATCAGCGTCATTCGTTGAGATGTAACATAATATTTTACTTTTACTAACAAACCACCACATGCACCAGTTGCTGTTATTTTTCTGTTTCATTTCAATGATTCTTGAGTTTGGGCATCTGAAGAGTGTACTGCAACACGTCACGGAGACACGGTGAAGCGCCGCTGTTACCACCTGACCAATTTTGGATCCTCATAAGTTCTAGTTAAACTGTAAGTTGCTAACCAACAACCACATGTACAACTTTCTGTCATTTTCCTGTTTGATTTCAGTGACTCTGGAGTTTGGGCAACTGATGGTTGTACTGCAACACGTCAAGGAGACAGGGTGAAGTGTCACTGTAACCACCTGACAAACTTTGGTATTCTCATGAGTCCTTTTGGTGAAACTGTAAGTGGCTTCCAAGCGTGAACTCACATGATTTTCTGATGTGGACACAAACGTCTGTCTTACTCCTCACCTGAAGTCTGTTTCTTACACCACATCATGGTTGATGTGTGAACATCGTTGCTTGTGTTTTTCCTCATAAGAATTTCATGGGAACACCCGAATATGTTTAATTCATGTAAAGATGTTTACCATGGACATATTGTATGTTTTATTTTTTTTTATTTTTCGGAGAACATTTTTTTCTTTTTTCTTTATGACCTAATGTTTGATACGAACATCATTATTTGTTTCATTTCTGAGAATATAGTTTTATATGAACGTAAACATTTGCTTTTGTGTGTCTTGCATCACATGATTTTTAATATGAGCATCTGTAATTGGTTCATTCATCAAACGATTTTTAATATGACTATCTGTATCTGTTTCATTCAGTAATGTAGAAATTTAGATTTGTTTGATTCCGCGCAAGATGTTTATTGTGAACATCTTTATATTTTTCATTCATTGTATGATGTTTAATGGTAATTTTGTTTTGTTTAGTTTTTGTTTTTGCTTTTCCCTTACAAGATGCTTACTCTGAACCTGTACATATCTGTATTTCACCACATGATATTTAATGTGAACATCTTTATCTGTTTATATTATTCTGAACATCTTTATCTGTTTTTCTATGGCTTTTACACTTGAAACTAAAGAGATTCATCGCCGGAGCTATAAAGTTCGCGCTCTGTGCTTGATACCATCTTTAGCAAGCAACCGGGAGAGTGGGATAAGGATAAGACGAGGGAATGGAGAGAAAAGTAGGCATAGAAATAGAAGAGCAGTTAGGAAATATATCTTGCAAAAAGCAAATAACACTGCGCCAGGACCAGACGGTTAGGTATGTCCACACGAAGGAAACGCGCATGAAGACTTGAGGGAGATGGCTTTCTACTTCAACGAGAGCATTAGAACAGCATCGGTATCCAGGATTGGAGGCACAGCTTTTCTTTTAACACCTCTTCCAAGACCAGGCACAGATCTTTCGAGACTCAGCTGTTTCAGGATTATCACTCTTCAAAATACTTGTCATAAAGGGCATGAGAAGATTATTGTTGTTAAACTACAGTTTAAAAAAAAAAAGAAAAAGAAATGAAAGGGGGTTCCAGAAAAGACAGGCAGTAATGGATATGGAACAAATAATGTGTTTCGCAGTGTTCCAGCATTCGATCCTATAGGTGATAGATCATGGATCTGGAAAACTTACCACATCAATGTGTCTCAGCTGCTGAAACTTGAACGCATACAAAAGGAAGCCACTAGGGCAACGTCGCCAGTGCTGTGATGTCGATTCTTAATTAAACGCTAAATATTGAACATCTTTGTCTGTTTCAGTCACTTGAAGATGTTTAAAGTCAACACAAATGTTGTGTCTCAACCCTCACCTTATGTCTTCATAAATGTCTGTCTCATGATTAACAAGTTTTTTCTAAAGCATTTTTATCCGGTCTACTCACGCTATTTTTGTTAAAAATCTGTTCTTCTCTTAATTTTTTTTTTCTATCTTTGTTTTATCTGTTTGTTTCATAGTAATATATATTTAACGAGAACATCTTTATCCGTTTCAATTGTTACAAGACATATAATGTGAACATCCTTATCTGTTGCAGCCTCTAAAAGACTGGTTTATCTTAAGCATTATATCAGCCGTGGGATGTGGTATATCCATTTTCTGCCTAGTGTTGACTGTCGCTGTGTACATCTTTTTGTGGAAGTGAGTAATCCATGTTTCTGTACTATGTACACCTTTTTGTAGAAGTGAGTAACCAATGTTTCTGTACTGTGTACATCTTTTTGTGGAATTGAGTAACCAATGTTTCTGTACTGTGTACATCTTTTTATGGAAGTGAGTCACCAATGTTTATGTACTGTGTACATCTTTTTATGGAAGTGAGTAACCAATGTTTCTGTACTATGTACACCTTTTTGTAGAAGTGAGTAACCAATGTTTCTGTACTGTGTACATCTTTTTGTGGAATTGAGTAACCAATGTTTCTGTACTGTGTACATCTTTTTATGGAAGTGAGTCACCAATGTTTATGTACTGTGTACATCTTTTTATGGAAGTGAGTAACCAATGTTTATGTACTGTGTACATCTTTTTATGGAAGTGAGTAACCAATGTTTATGTACTGTGTACATCTTTTTATGGAAGTGAGTAACCAATGTTTCTGTACTGTGTACATCTTTTTATGGAAGTGAGTAACCAATGTTTATGTACTGTGTACATCTTTTTATGGAAGTGAGTAACCAATGTTTATGTACTGTGTACATCTTTTTATGGAAGTGAGTAACCAATGTTTATGTACTGTGTACATCTTTTTATGGAAGTGAGTAACCAATGTTTCTGTACTGTGTACATCTTTTTGTGGAAGTGAGTAACCAATGTTTCTTTACTGTGTACATCTTTTTGTGGAAGTGAGTAACCAATGTTTCTGTACTGTGTACACACAAACAGTCTCACGATTCCTACATGACAGAACTGTTTATTTATATTTGTGTATATTTTGAGACCGGTAAAAATTAAAATGCCAGAATACTACCGTGTTTAGTAGAAGTCGAATATCGTGTACAGTTTAAGTGAAAGTAGAAAGTTGGGATGCATCTGCCTGGGCAACGAGGAAACAACAGTCTGCACACACATAAGCCAGAGTGTAAAACAGATGTTCACACAGGACTTAAGTTGTGGAATAATTCTGAAGTCTAGAAGTGGATAAACAACCAGAACTGTGATTCGGAGTTTACAGCGAATGATCAAGAGAAAGAAAAGAAGAAAAAGAATTAGAACAAATAATAATAATAATAATAATAATAATAATAATAATAATTATAATAAGATTTGTTACATCATGTGATAAGACCTTTTGAAGAACGTAATGACAACCGGGAAGTAGTGTGGTAGAAAAAGTCAAATCAAACAGGAAGAAAATTTGGTGCATGGTCGATGACAGTAGCATCAATAAATGTCATAAATAAATGTCAATACATTAATAATAAAAACAAAGAAGTAAACGACTACATCGTATTTACGACTACATCGTATTTTCATGGATGATGATGATGATAATCATGATGATGATGATGATGATGATCATGATAATGCTGCTGCTGATGATGTTGATACTTCCATTGCTGTACTTTATATGTTTGGTTGTGGAATACAGTATGTATGTGTTGAAATATAGTAGGTATGTGTTCAGGCCATTTGTGTTGGATCTGTTCTGTAAATCATATGTTCTAATATTAGTTGCTATATTCATGTACTGAGTTCTGGAACTAGACCAGTGTCCAGAAGTGGACGGAGAGCCAGAGCTTTTCCGCCAGAGTTTAGAGCCTGTGAACGCGAAGATGTAGAGGATAATTATTTGTTGATAATAGTTGGTGTATACAACTGAAGGCACCTTTGTCACTTCTGTGTCCCCCACAACACGACAGGTATGTGACGTGTGATCGGTCAGTTCTCCATGTAAACTTGAGTATCTGTCTCATCGTGGCCTACACACTCTTCCTGGCTGGAGTGGACAGAACGGACAGTCGGGTAAGTCTGTCTCAGTATTGCCTCGCATTGTTTCAGAATGAAGGCCACCAACATGGTAACACATGTACTACTGAAAACAATGTTTTCTCGGAATTAATTAAAACAATGTGGACACAGACAATACATTACAATATTTCTTGCCACGTATATTTCGCTGTATCTGGTCAGGTGCGTGAGTACAGAGTTACATCAACATTAAATGATGCACAAAAACTTGAAAAACAATTTCCACTCATAAACAAAAGATCTCTTTCGATGTCTCGTGTTGTCTAATCGACGGAAGTTCCCGATAGTACCGTGAATTATTATGGTAATTTCACTTGAATTCCTTCTGTTTACATACGACGGTATTTTACATTTTTTGCAGTTAAAGCTTCGTCCCTGCTCGTCATTCGCATGTTCGGTGTATAGTAAATCACATGATGCTATTACAGTTAGTGGTTTTTCAGAAGCGTGTCCTGACAGTCACCCAGTTCCTTCAGACACGATGATGATAAAATGAGTTATACAACTCACGGCGAATACTTTTAACGAAGCCAAGACGTTCCTCTTAATTTTAACTTGTTTTATTTTAGAAACATTCGCGAGAAAATTCATTAAGCAATCTGTTCTCTTTTTCCCGAAACATCTTAATCACAAAGACACAATGATAGCTTTTTTGACCATGTTATGAGAAGAGAGAAACTGGCACATGTCGAAAGCAATGGAAAAATTTGTTGAAAGAGAGAAGAGTGGTGCTAGAAGATACATAACAGCCTTTTGCTGTAGCATAAAGGAGAATCAAAACTGCATTTTGTCATGGCATGGAGGAGAATCAAAACTGCTTTTTGTCATAGCATAGAGAAGTATCAAAACTAAACTTGTCCCGATTCTCTACACACCAGGATATGCCGAGGTGAACGGAGCTGACAGACTGGCCGTATCTGCAAAAGTTACTGAGAAAAGAAGTGGGGTGTGTAGGTTGGGGAGAAATACGGAATGCACTCTGTTCTAGAGATTTTGAGACAGTGGAGTCAGAGAAAAGGAACAGGAACAGGACATGAGTATTAAACAAGGACGCGTATGCAGAAACCTGTTGTTGGGCAACGAAACAAGTTGACTTGAGTCAAGAATTGACATCACAGCACTCGAGGCATCCCCAGTTGTACTCCGTCCTCATGCAACAGCCAGCGCAGAGTTCCAATACTGATGGTACCGGTCACAATCTGGTTATATGTCCGTCTTGCCTTTCCTCTGAGTGTAGTGAGCCGACCAGACCGAAAGAAGTTAAGCCAGTAAACTCCTACTAGATATGGCAAGGATAGAGACACTGATATGGCTGCTAAATCTGAGGATGGAGTACAAACGGGTCAGATCGACGTACTAGGATTTCGACACGGACAACAAATAACAAGTCTGCAGTGAAGTCAGCACATTACTGGATCTATGCTTCTGGAGACAGGTTGTGGAAATACAAAACGCCCACGTAAGTCTGCCATACACTTGATGATGATGTTGATTTCTTCATTGTTCCCAGATTATATTAATGAATTTAGTTGTTTCTACTTATACCGACAGTACGGATGTAAAGTCGTAGCAGCTCTACTCCATTACATCTACCTGGTCGTGTTCTGCCTTATGTTGAGCGAGGGAGTTGAGATCTTCAGATCTGTCAGTTTGGTCTTTTCTTCCAAGTCCATTTTGTGGAAGTTACTTCTGTTTTCATACGGTAAGTTTTATTGACAATGTTTCTTTTGAAGAAAAAAATATCAACAATTAGGTGTGTGTTGTGTGTGTGTGTGTCGCAGGAAATATATACATATTGGCATATGGGAAGAGCGTCCCATATTTTTGCAGGCCAATCGGGACGGGGTGGGTAATGTGGTCAGCATTGTGCAGGCCGTCTTTACTTCCCCAGGACAGCCATCCTGGTACCCATTTTAGGCTGAGTCGACCTGCGACGCCCCATACCATGATAAAAATCTTCGCAGCCAGCAGTGGGTTTCGATCGCAGTACGTTGGAATAACGAGTCAGACTCGCAACGCCTAAGCCACGGACGCTGCTAGGAAATGTATTCTTCTTCTGCCTTTCTATCCCGCAATGGAGCATAGGCCCTCAACCAACTCACGCCAAGTCGTTCTATCCTTTGCCATTGCATGGAGCTCTCCCCATGTCTTCCCCATTTTTCCAACTTCATTCTCCAGCTCTCTTCTCCATGGGGTTTTTGGCCTTCCTTTATTCCTATGCCCCTGTGGATTCCAATGCAAAGAAGTTATGCTGTTCTATAGCTGACGCAAAAATGAAATATATGTAGCCGACGTAGAAATAGAACGTCTTTAGTTTAAATTGGATTTAAATATCTGCAGGTTAAAAAAAAAAAGGTAAAGTCAGAAGATGTGAACCAGCTTCATTGCACACGGTTGTAAACTATAAGTGCTCTGCCACCAGTCTGTGTCGCCGAACGCACGCAACTCCGTAGCTACAGCGTCGATCCTTCATTTACCCCCTAGTGTTAACTCTGGTACCCATTACCTAGAGGCTGGGTGAACCCTAGGAACAGCCCAGTTTCGAACACCTATCTCCTATCAACTGCCCAAAATCTCCAAGTAGTGTAGAGCAAAAAGAGGAGACGGACAAAATGCACGAGGTAGACCAAGAACATGATTGAAAGATAACATCACATAAATTGTACAGCAACACGATGTGCCTATGGTGGAGGCGGCCAGATGAACGAGAAGCAGAACCTTATATCTCCCTCGAAACGCGTAGCCTTCTTCTTCTTCGCATTCACCAGCTGTAAACTCTAGTGGAAAATTCTGGTTGTTCGTCCACTTCTGGACTGCATTCTCGTTTCACAATCTGAGTTATGCGGAGCATGAGTTTGACAGATCTGACTCATCTGTGTACAGACTTAATTCCTTGCCTCTCACGCAGATGCACCCCGACTTCGAAAGAAGCTCCCAATTAGTCGACTCTTGCGACATGCTTTTAGGTAGGCAGTGGGTCTATTCTTGTTTTCCCTATAGTAGGGCCCCAGAAACCACACGGGAGACACGCGTAGCCGTAATAGAGTAAGTGAAGAAGAAGTAAGTGTAGATGCCGTAGCAGAAAATCCATCTGACACATTTGACAGTACTGATAGGGATAATCTCGAAACCTGGTAAAGAGTAACAGAATCACAGGAAGCCGAAGTAGACAAGTGGCTAAATGCTTACTTGTAGGCAAGAGAAGGTCTAGGTTCGAATCCACATCACGCGGGTTCTTATAATTATCAACGTCTCCCAGACGGACATAGTTCAGAACAGATACATAAAAATTACATGGAAAGTAAATTCGGCCTCTGTAATGTAAACGACACCAACCATTGAGTGCCAATAGATATATAAATACGTGTAGCCGAAGAAAAATAGTAAACCAACACAAAACTGGTGTTATCAGTCGCCACAGGTTGAGGGATATAATGAAAATGAGATCCGACGGCTTATAGTTGTCCGATACATGCAAAGTAAAGTAACGTAAATGACCCCTTCCACGTCTTTAAGCGTATAGGGCATATAGGGCTAGACCTATATTTATAGACCAATCGGTACAAGAGGGGTGATGTGGTTAGCATCACGCCGGCCGCCTTTACCTCCCGGGACTGTACCTACTCAAGGCTGGGGCGAACTGGGAGCCAAAGTCATTTTTGAAAAAAGTATGTTTTCGCAAGGGAGCGAACCCACTATCTTCAGATCCACAGGCGAGCGTCTAGCTGCTCCGCCACAGCGACTCCCATAAATACTTGAAAAAAGTTGCTGCAAAATGAAACTAGCTACAATTATTGTAATAACTAAATCCACAATTTAGTTGGCCTGAGTTAACTGACGGCTAACACTCAACTGGAAAACGAAAGGCCAGGAGACACCGATTAATTGATGTGATTACTGTTATTTACTTGAGATCATCTGTTGTAATTAGTTAATCGAGGTTTCAGTTTTACTGCAAACGGGTTGCTCCATAACTACTTATTACCTCTGCCAGGCGACATCACACATGATGTCCTTCACTGTCACACATGAAAGTTATTGAAAACCTGTCAGTCCTCGCCATTATTAACATAATTCAACACCCGTCTTTTTAGTGCAGTCAGCCACACGGCGCAGACACACACGCCCACACACACAGACACGCGCACGCGCACACATGCACGCACACACACATAAGCGCACACACACATATTCCACATGAAACTCACAGCTCACAGTGCCGCACCAAGCACAAAGTGGTAATCCGTTAGTTTGTTTGTAGTGGTATTTTCAGTTATATGTCAACATTAGGCGATAAACTTCACATTACAGTTATGACAGGACATTTACTATACGAAATAGGTCCTTATCACAATTACGGGCCCTGGTCCCGCCCATATCCACACTTATGAATGAAATTGGCGGGACAAGACTCTGTGATTAGACGGTGAGTCTTCGCCTTAAGCTGTCAGTCGGTCACGTCTAAGCGGGAGGGGTGTGATTTTTCTTTAGTGTGTATATGTTCTAGTGCGGACAACTTTTCTTAGCGATTCAACTATGATATAAATATGCCGAAGTAATCAGCGACTAGGACAATGAGTTTATTGCAGAGGGTAGAGATCCATGTCTGCGGCGATCTGTAGAATGCACTGTCTCGTGGGACCTAGGGGTTTGCGTTAGGGCCAGCAGCAGATTTAATGCGGTCATTAAAATCGCTAACTTGCTGTAGTATAGAGGTCTCGTCATAGGATACTGAGTTCTGGATGTTCTAAGGTCGTAAATATGTGTCATAAAATGACGCAGATGGGACACAGCCACGGCGACATCCCTGTAAACTGAAGAGAAGTCGACTCCGCTGATCCAGTATAAATAAATGGTTGACTAGTGTGTAGTGGGCTGGGCAGGGCTCGTAATTGTGATAAGAACCATTTTACTTAGTAAGAAATTTACTTTCTAAATGATATTTTAGACCTCTTTGATTTAATAACTTTATTGAATCTTGTCCACGTGTGTAGGTGTGCCTATGATCATCGTTGCTGTTTCGCTGGGAGTTACCAAGGCGGAAGGATATGGCACCAAAACTTCGTATGTAGTTTTCTCACATAACATGAAACACGTGTGAGTGAGAGATACCGGTAGCGATGATTTGTGTGCTAATTTTCTGTAACATCACACTTTTTAGTCTTCAGGTCTGCTGGGTTAGGATAGCATTTTCCTAAGCAAGTTCCTTACCTATGCTCCTAAGCAATCTGTCAAAAAGTCGCGTCCAGCTTTTAAAAACATGAGACCCAGCTAGCTGTTAATATTTATGTCCGTGGAGGACATTGAAAACTAATTTTAAACAAACATATAGTTTTCATTTGGAAACGGACACATGTTCAAAGCAAACAGTCAGCATGCTCAGGGGTAACTGAGTTAGAGGAACTTTTCAAAACATCAAATTGCACGCGTTCAGTAAGCCTTTTACTTTCTGGTAGTCAATTCCAGCATTTGCCTTCCATGAATTACTGTAAGTGAACATAACTTGTCATTGTTTACGGGATAGGTTATAATAATATTTATTACGCATGGCTTCGTATGTGAATTGATTTCCAAAAAATTATCCATGCTTATGTCAAATGCTGCATATTCTATTTTTTAGGGGTACACAATTTATTATTAAACAAAGATCAAAGAAATTATCAGCTGTACACAATTTATTATTAAACAAAGATCAAAGAAATTATCAGCTTTAAGAAAACGGCAGCGTCTGTGCAATTCTAAATTATAAAACCATAAGGATATGGGAAATCTAAGGCCACACGCACACATTGGTATTGATCCGTACAGGATATTTCAAGATATTTATTTGTTAATGTCTGAGGCCACGACTTTTGAAGCGATGGTCTCAGCACGACTGAGAGACAATCAGCGATGAAGGGCAGCAAATAAGATAGGTTCAGGGTAGCGTAGAAGCTGGAAGAAATCTGACATTTCCAGGGCGCTATGGGGGAAGTCGTCAATCTCCTGACACAATCTATGGAGGCGTTTAACTTGAGAGAGAGGAATGGAGTTCTGGCAGGAAGAAGGATGTGAGGATGTATACACATGAAAAGCATGGGAATCAGTAGGTTTGTGCAATACTGAGGTCATTAGAATACGAAGTCACAGTGAAATTTCAGCAGTAACGCGTTTAGCGAGTGCAGGCAGTGAATTTTCAATCTAATAATTGTGAACTTGTTATATAAATTGACTGATTGGCACCTTTCAGTCTTTCCAGACGAAAGCGTTATACTGCGCTTTGATGAGGCATAAGACTCGTAGCCCATTGAAATGAACAGCTGTAAAACATTGGTCGAATCTGTAGATGATCATAGAGCGACAGCTCATGAAGTCTAATAGCATTATCATGAACGTCAGCACTTTATGCTTTTATAGCCAATGCTTCTTCAATGTCCTGCATCCACCCCCCTTGAGGTGTGCCCCTGCCTCCTTTCCGGAAATTGTACCCTCGTTTACCGTTCTCGTCAGGCACCCACAATGTTTATCATAGCCTATACACACCAGCTTTCATCCCAGGTTGTTGGTTATAAGCCATTCTACCTTGTTGTTGTTCAGATCATGTAGAATGTAAGTGTGTTTCTTTTCAATAAGCCATGGTGTTATTAAACTTTCCTCTAGCATTTCAGTTCAAGCGCACTTTCTCTCTTTCTCTCTCTCTCTCTCTCTCTCTCTCTCTCTCTCTTTCTCTCTCTCTCTCTCTCTCTCTCTCTCTCTCTCTCACTCTCTCTCTCCCCCCCTTCTCTTTTTTCCTGAGGCTGAGTAAAAGTCCACCACTCACATCCATAAGTTGCCATAGTAAAGATGCATGATCTCACAGTTTTTACTTGAGCTTCCATGCGCATGTTCGCAAACTGTTATTTGCCAGAATTGTTTGTGTTGAAATAACAGTAATAACTAATACAGTTTAATAATATCCTAAAACTATTTTGTTAATACTATACACATTTTATCTGATGGAGACCGAGCACGGATAATTTAGCCCAGAGTGACGTTAATATGAATAATATTGTGTTTACTGTAGGCAACACGAATGACCTTAGACAGGACATGGCCGGCCCCAGCTGACGGGCCATGCTGCTGACGTCACCAGGTCAAGCTAACGATGCGTTAACGAGGCGATTCTCATACAAAAAATAAACTCTTTTCGACAGTGTCGATGAAAGAAAACCTAAATTTTAGCTTTTAAGTATTTACATGCCTTCTTTAATAAGTTCACAATTTTTAGTCTACTTTTTTTTAATGATTGCCGCGGCACCCCTGGAAAACGCTCAACGCGCTCGGTTAACGCATCATTAGCCCAACCTGGTGATGTCAGCAGCACGGCCCGTCAGCTGGAGCTAGTCGTGGACAGGGCGAGCATTCACAGACAGATCAGAGTAGATTGAGCAGGCACATAGGCTCAGCTATAGATGTGGTTTTTATGTCTTCCACAGCTGTTGGCTGTCCACAAGCGATGGTCTCATTTGGGCTTTTGTAGGCCCAGTGCTGTTCGTCTTACTGGTATGTCAATGGTCTTTACATAGTAACAGGTTATATTTATCAAAGACCACTATTTGAAAATAGTTCACAATCACTGCCATTTTTCAGGGCACAGTCGAGTTCGCCACATGAACACACAATTTAAGATTGACGAATCAGACAAGTGCATATGAGGTCTAGTACCGGAGACAACAGATCACATCCTCCAAGACTGTCCCCAATAAAACATTTCCAGGCAACAATTCTGGCCAAGAGAGAGAGAGACTGGTGGAAGCCAAACTTTACGGGTCGCTGAGTGAATTCAAAAGACAGTGAAGTTCATACTAGAGCCATCATTGCAGATATAGATGTTTATTTTAAGCGAACGAAAAAAGAACTATTTTTTTTCACATTACTACTGTTGTCTGCTACTACTTCAACTGGACCACCACCACCACCGCGTCATCATCATCATCACTACCACTACCATTATCATTATACACGTCCGGCTGTATATAGGTCCTGACAACTCAATCACGGCACATTTTGGCTGAGTTCCCTCGAAAATAGGTTACTGCAAGCGTTTCCATGTTGCATTTTGTGATATTATAATATACTTACAAACTTCTGTGTTTTGATTGTATTCGTATTACGAATCGACAAGCGCATATTGTAAAGTGGACATACAAGCTGTTAGATTACAGCAATTTTAATTGCAATTCACGGGAGACAGTCGTGTTGTGATGTGTGTGCCAGTGTCACTGTTTCTAGTCAGTAGTTCGGATTTTTGGGAACTGGCTGTTTATTACTTTTCTACTTTAAATGTAGAAATCTTACTTTTAGGGATAATACAAACAGGTAATTTAGAAACCATATCTGAAGAATATCGACAGTTGTCAGGTGCAAACTATCTTGTGTTTGAAGAAAACTATTGCTTTCATATTGACTGAGCATAAAAAGTGCAACCACACTGTGGATAAATTATGTCAAGATATTTCGGAGCTCTAGGTAAGTGGATGAAAAAAAATATTTAATTTACTAACTAACCTCTCACAGCAAGTCACTCTTTGCCTCTTTACTAATTGCTGACTAACAGTATAATTATATGTTGTAGCAGTATACTAATAATATTAATCCTTAACCATTTGACTTATGCTTCACGAACACTGGCTGTAAACTCTTGCGGAAACTTCTGGTAGTTCATTCACTTCTTTTGCATATTTGCAGTTCTACGGTCTGTGTTAATTTTTGTAAACTGGCTTTTGCTTTGCTTCGTGAACATTGGCTGTAAACTCTTGCGGAAACTTCTGGTTGTTCATCCACTTCCTATGCATATTTGTTACCAAAAAATTCGCAATGATAAGGAATTGATTTCATCCAACAAGATGAAACTGGAAAAATTTGTTTGTGCTGTTTGTACCTTGAGGATACATATTTAGTAGTGCTAGAAGTACTGTTAAGAAAACTACTCTGGGTGAAAAAAGTATTGAATTTAAATCATTTATATTTATGTTATTTATGACATGTGTATGTTTCATAGCAGTATTTTTATGCGCTAAATTTGATAAAGTACAAATGTCACCCCTCTCCTCCGCCCCCCCCCCCCCCGCGCTCCTCCGATGCAACAATACCCTCTCAGAATCAAGTAACAGAAAGTATTGAGAAAGAATCAAGGAGTTAGCACTAATATTTCTTTACTTTTGCTGGAACAACTTTTAATTTACATCTTAACGTTACTGATGTTTATGTTCATGTTGACTGTAGCAAAAGCATTTTTGTTTGTCTGTAAGAGCCTTTATTGTTATATTTAATTTGCACACTTATTTACCTTAAGAATGACGTATAGTTCTCAAAAATATATCGAAAATTATTGAAACTAAAGTTTAATTTGTGTATACATCTCCACGATAAAAACTGTGGACGCAGAGGGACTCAATTGTTGCACAAGAACGGGAATTCCCGTTTGAGCTGTACAGCCTTATAAATCTGGAGCTGGCCGTGCATTATCCTAATTTTCAACAACAAAACAAAATAAATAAGGCAATTTTTTTTTAATTTGCGCCTTTATATTTCCAATCATTAAAATCCATGTCGTTTTGTAAACCACAATTTGTGTCACCTTTACAATCATCATCATCATCAGCATCATCATCATTATCATCATTATCATCATCATTATTATCGTACTTGTTGTTAGAAGATTATTATGTAGTTAAATGTGGGAGCTGATCTGAAATTTACTAAGATAATATTTTTCTTTGTGTTACGGGCGTAATAAACTTTTTTTTTAATTCGTTGTCTTTTCTTTATGATTATGAATATAACAATTGATTCAGAAACCTGTTACCGAACCACTTTTTTTCTCTGACAAGAGTTAATTTTGCTTACAGATAAACATGTTCATATTATTTCAAGTACTGTGGATTATGCAGAGATCAAAACAGATGATGAATAAAACAGCTCAACAGAGAACAAAGTGAGACGATATTTTAGCATTTATTATTATTAATTTTATTATTATTATTATGTTTTGCATAAGAAGACTTATTGTACAGAACAAGTTTTATTTTATACAACCTATTTTAATATATGACTGTCAAAATCTGAACTGTTCATTTTGTAATAAGTGGTGTGTGTTTCTTCTCGTTGTCTAGGCAGTGTTCGTGCGTGTGTGGTGGATGATCTTCTCACACGCTCCACGTTACACAACTGGCACAAGCCGACACCGATGTGAGCTTATGA